TAATAATTATATATAGTATATAGTACTTGATTACCTGTATAATAAATATACATATAATAAGATGTATATAAATAGATATATATATATATATCATAGGGTGTGTGGTATTGTGTGTTAGCGAATGGCTAGGCTAACTTGTGTGTGTTGGCTGGTGTCTATGTGTGTTTGTCTGTCTCACCCCCATCTGACTCCCTGCCCCTCGTGTGGTCGTTTCATTGCCCTAAATGTGTGTGCCGTGGAGTGTGGCATCGTGTGCTTGATGTGTGCCTCAATTTCTGCATATGTGGTGTGGTGTTGTGTGAATGTGTGTGTTGTGTGTGTGTGTCTGTGTATGTTGTTGTACACTGTATGTGCTGTGTACTATGTGTGTGGTGTGTGATTATTACCCTATAATGTCCAAACCATCTATTACATACATTACATACACTACCATACACACACACACACACATACGCACACACGATATATTATATATATTTTATATATATATATACCTACTATATTATATATATACTAGTATATATAATATTATATTAATTATATAATATATACATTTATAATATACATTTATATAATATATATATACATATTTATTAATACATGTAGTATTATATGTATATATGTACTGTATATTATATATTATATATATCACCTATATATATTAACTTATATATGATCATATAATAGCGACTCATATACTATGAGTATACTTACATATATATACGTATATATATATATATATTATATAATAATATATCATATAGATATAGTATATATATATAAATTTATAGTTTATATATATATATGTATAATCATATATTATACTATATATATATTATACTATATAAACTACTTATATTATAAATATATCTATATATGTGCTGTGTGTGTGTGTGTGTGATTTGATTGTGAGTGTGTGTGTGTTTGTGTGGTGTGTGTGTGTGTTCGAGTGTACCTAATGTAACAACATAGCTAACATTACATGACTACATACATACCACTATACGTGTAAATATAATATATATTCTACATCAATATATTATATAATATACAGTATATATATTATATTTATATAAACTGACTATATATATATAGCAATGAGTGAGTGCTCTACTTTATTATATATATATATATATAATATAATTATTAAATATAATATTATATATATATATTACTATACTTTAATCTAAAGTATTATATAACCAAAAATTAACTATTATAATAATATAATATAATAGTATATATAAATTACTATTATATATAATATAATTTACTAGTAATACTAATACTTATATATATATATAACATGATAATTATATAATTATGTGTTTATACTGTGAGTTGGTGATCATGAAATCTCATTACATGCCGTTCTATTTCCTACTCATTCTTTGATTTTCATAAAACTTCATGTCACTTTACTGTTCATCTATTAAATGTTTGAAAAAAATGATTGACGGGAAAGTGTAAAATAAAAAATGAACACAAATCTAAAACTCTTTTGTATTGGAACAACATTCAGTATTGCAACTCACAATACTAGATACAGTGAAAACTGACACGTGCACAATTGTTGAGCAATAATGTAGTAATATAAATGAAATATCAACAAAGGCAGTTGCAGCAGGACCTAGAGGTATGATTTAATAAAGAAAACATACCAGGTGTATGTCGAAGAAAGTAAGTACGTGCTCAGTAATAAAGTTACCAAGAAAAAAAAAACAATACAGTACAGTAGTTTTGCTATCAGAACAGACTTCATTACAAGCTATTCGTCTCTCTCTCTCTCTTCTCTCTCTCCTCTCCCTCTCTCTTCTCTCTCTCTCTCTCTCTCTCTCTCTCTCTCTCTCTCCTCTCTCTCTCTCTCTCTCTCTCTCTCTCTCTCTCTCTCCCTCTCTCCCTCTCCCTCCCTCCCTCCCTCCCTCCCTCCTCCTCTCTCTCTCCTCTCTCTCTCTCTCTCTCTCTCTCTCTCTCTTCTCTCTCAATCTCTCTCTCTCTCTCTCTCTCTCTCTCTCTCTCTCTCTCTCTCATATGTATGTGCCACACAACGCACACGCATACACCACACACTTACCCACACACACGCACAACACACACGCACACACACAACACAACACACACAACACACACACACACACACAACCACACACACACACACACACACACACACACACACACACACACACACACACACACACATGCACATACATAAAATATGTAAACAAATATATACACCCATATAATTTGTATGAATGTATACATGCATATTTATATATGCATATACATATATACATAAAAATTGTATGTAGTATGTATATATATATATATAATACATTATACATATATTTATATATTAAGCAATTCATACACTCATACATACACACACACACACACACACACACACACACACATATATATATATATATAATAATATTATTATATATATATATTATATATATATATATATAATAATATATAATATATATATATATATTATATTATATATATATATATATATATATATATATATATATATATATATATATAATATATATATATATATATATATATATATATATAGTATAAATATATATTATATATATATATTAATATATAATATATAATATATATATATATACATATATATACGTATATATATATATATATGACTAGTGAACACCAATATGATATATAAAATAAATTAAGAAATCGCTAAATCATATCAAATTCTACTGCACAAGGTAAAGAAATTATATTATATTTAATTATATTATATAGCAAAAACCTACGTAAAGTCACTGCCGGGGCTGTGCAGATACACGTTTATGCCAATCAGCGGGTTTTGAGGATTCTAGAATAAAGAGTTCCAGGCTAAGTAGGGACATGAAACTGCGGGATCTGAACCCTTTTCAGCTAAAACAATGACCACAAGAGTATTGGATCCAATGATGTCATCACGAGTTCCTACTGTCTCTCTTTCTCTTCCTCGCTCGCTGACCAATGTCTCTCTCTCTCTCGGTAGACCCTTTGTCAACCTGCATGGTTTTGTCTGCATGGTTCCTTGGCAACATGCACTCACTACCACTCACGGTAGTGAGTTGGGTGAGATGTAACAATGGGCTGATAGAGAGATAATTGGAAAGATAGTGAAAACAAAGAGAGAGAGAGAGAAAGGGATACATTATGATTTATGAAACAAGGTGGCAAATTGGGTGCTTTCTCTCCCATTATTTCTCTCATGTTTTTTTTTTTTCCAGCCAGTCACATAATTTTAAGCCGATCTGAAATGGCCGTGATCGATGGTACTGAGAGGTATTCGACTAAAATTTAAATGGATCAAGAAATTAAGAATGTAGTGGCACGCCCTGGCTGCATTGGAGGGGAGTGTGCCCAAGAGAAAGCATTGACTGTAGGGAGAAAGAAGGAAAAAGAGAAAGAAAGAGAGAGAGAGAGAGGAAAAGAGAGGAGGAGAGAGAAAGAGAGACAGAGAAAGCTGCTGATCGAAAAAGGCACATCTATAAGGTGTTTGTCTTTCCAAACCAAAAAAATTAAAAATTTATTAAGTAGTGTAAGTAGTGTTGGTGAAGAGAATGGTATGGCTTGATGGTCGAGTGGGAGGTTTTCCCAAATTGTAACTCCAGGACTGAGTCCTAATTAATAGGACAGGGCTTTGTTCGAAACTAAGTCAGTCTCAGATCAAGTCCCAGATTCATTCATCTGATTCACTGTCGACCTTGTTCATTACTGAATGAGTTAAAATTTTCCTGAACTGAACCACTGCACGCACCGTGAAGGGTCCCCGGGCAAACCAAACATCATTGTTTTGGGTAAAAAAAAAAATAATAATAATAATAAATAAATAAATAAATAAATATATATATATATATATATATATATATATATATATATATATATATATATATATATATATATATATATATATATATCAGCACATACACACAAACATATCTATCTATCTATCTATGTATTTATCTACGTAGTATCTATTCATCTATTGTTTTTCTTGCTATCACTAGCATCGCTGATGTTACATGCATAGTCAAAATAACCGCAGTTTTATCGCCTTTCATGTTGTCGCCACAGATAACGCCGCACCATCACCACTAAACCCTAAACTAATTCTTCAACGGCAAATCCATCCTGTGGAGGAGGCCCAACACTGCCTGGCCGGCCCTCCTGCGCCTCCACACGAACGTCTCCGCCAGCAGGAACACCAGGGAGAGGGCCAGCGAGACGCTCAGGACAATGAGGATGGTCAGCAGCGTCTTGAACTCGACAGCTTTGGTCTCCAGCTGCTCACAGTCCTTGACGGCAGGAGCCCACTTCGTCCACCACTTGTTGATGAGGCCCGTCGACCACATGTCTAGCATTCTGAAGGAGGGTTGCAAAATGCTAGGAATAAGTGGGGCCTTTTCGTGTAAATGGATGATGGCGTCTTGACAGTGGCCCGAACCTTATTTTGATGAGGCCGGTTGACCATATGGCGAGCATCGTATGATGGGATGAGAGAGGTGTTTTAAATGTCTTTGTGCCTTTGTACCCAACTTCACATATTGATGAGGATCAACTGAACATATGCCCGGCAAGCTTGGTGGGTTCAGAAGGTTATCTTACCAAATGTAAGTGGGTAATCACGTCTAAATAATACACCCTACTTATTACAGTGGAATTGGAGAGGTACATTCTAAAGGGAGCTAGTGTAAATCGCGTAGCGTGCTGCTACGTGCGTTCGTCATATTTGGCGACACCTGGAGTATTTTGTGATTAGTGATTTATGATTTTTTTGTTCGCGTGGATAATGCCTGCAGAACATGTGCATTGAACAAAGTGAAAATGAAACAGCCAAGGGAAGAGCAGAAATCACAAATATTCTGAAGGCCTTCCCTGGGTCCTGGATAATGCTAGTTATGTACCAAATTATCATATATAGACAACGTACAATACCAAACAAATACCGACGAAGTCCTTAGAGCTAAATG